ACCTATTAGTTAAATGTTATGTCTTTTAAAACATAAAATATTAATTAGAAGAGTAAAATCTTGCATTTTAGATTTTGCAGATTCTCTGCAATCCTGATTATCTTCCAGAGCGGGGTCATCATTTTTGCCTGGTCTAGGAACCAGAACAGAAGCAAAACAATCTAGCCAATGAAGCTGGGTGTCAGCATCTGAGAATCTGTGTAGTGCCTGTATTTTTCTCTCCTCTATTGATTACTGTGGCTTCAGATGTTCCAGAGCTCCCAAGTTTTATCTTAAGGTCCAGCTGATCATCAGAATCACAGTGAATCCAGACATGGACTAACCTGAGCTTGGAAAATTTAATTTCTTTTGATGGAATGCTAGATTTCTGGTCTTTCCTACCACCCCCTAAAAGCTTAGAACACATGTTGCAGTTCCTAATCCACTGGGAGATAAAAGTGAAGGATGTAGTTTAAAAAAAACCCCAAGAAAACAAAACAGCATTAAAAATTTTATCTTCCTCCTGGTGTTTATAAATATTATCCAAAAAGCTTCTGATCTGGTTAAATAGGATCTCTAGGAGCTGTGGAATCTGCAGTAGGAGGAGTTTGGGGAACAGCATCTTTTCCTGCAGCACAGTGGAACTCTTCTCACTGTTTGTAATTTTCACAGAGCTGTTTACAGCATTGAGTGCTCTGTAGATAGTGAAAATCAGTAGTTCTTAGCAGAAGAGTAGTGAATAGATGTGTGAAAGTTGATTAAGAAGCACTTCCTCATGTCTGTTGTTGTACTTCATTGAGCTGTTTGGAAATACTAGTTCTGACTGCATGTGCAGGAAAACTCATTAAAAATGGTGAAATTTTTAGGATGTAATTTTCATATGCTTTTCCTGTACAACTAATGGTCTATTTTGATTTCTTTTCAGGGGGCAATATACCTTTTTCTCTATTCATTTTTGTCCAAAATTTGTTTTTTCTGAGCATTAGAAAATGTCTCAGCATTTTCTGAGACAATTTTGAGATCATGTGATCATTTGGCCTTAACTTGAAAGAAGTTGATGACATGTTAAAAAAATTTTCAAAGTTTAAAGAGAGCTTTAATTGGTGAAGTCAATTTCTTTCAGACTGGCTCACTTTTACAGGCTTTAATTATCAGTTTGGAATTTGTAATATTGCCTGTATTTCAGCTGGGTGAGAATTAGCACTGTGCTGAGGGAGCCCAGACAAAAGGACATTGGTTGCGTCACAGCAACTTATTAAATGCAGTGCTAATTCAACAGACGAATTCCTGCCAACAGGTGCAGCCTCTGGATTCATTCTTACACTCTCCCACTCCCTCACACTCTGGGGACTTGCATAGTTCCTACTGACAGGCACAGCCACTGCTAATTCCATTCACAAGCTTCTCAAATTTCAATGCGTTTCATCGTGAGAGCCTATTAGATTTTTTTTTTTTTTAGGTGTTAACTATCATCAGGGCATCCTGAAACTAAAAATGGATATTTCTCTCACTGGGATTCCAAAGCACTCATCTAGCCAAAAACGTGGTGTTTTTATGAATGAAATTCACTTTACAAGCTTCCCATACAGATTTTTTTTTAATTTTTAAAATCTTTTTGTGCATTGAACAGCCAGTTACCAGGAAGGATTTTCTTTAAGTGTCTTGGTAACTGGAGGGGCCTGGGTGAGAAGTGATGTGCCTGAGCAGAAAGCACAAATAGATTTTGATTTAACTGAACTAGAGGATTAAGAGTGATAGGGGAATTTTTCACCTGTGAAACATAGATCACAATCTATTGCCTTGGGTAAAAAGCTGAAGACCAGTGTGACAGAAATTACATTTAATATATAATTTATTTAATATGTAATTTTATAATATATAAAAGATCAGAATAACGAGAGATTACATTTATGAGTTAATTGCAGTCTTTGACAGTAGACCAGTAAGTCTTTGAAAATGCAAGCAGTTTGATTTTGGTTTTACTCTGGGAGGTTTTGGTTCCATAAAACTGCAAAGTGGCTGCATTTCTTTACCAATTTCCTGAATTACATTTACTATATAATAATAAACATTATCAATTTTCTGAATTAAATTTAATATATAATAATAACCAGATTGGAATAACCAGAGATTCCATTTATGAGTTAATTCCAGTCTTTGACAGTAGACCAGTAAGTCTTTGAGCATGTAAACAGTTTGATTTTGGTTTCATTCTGGGAGGTTTTGGTTCCATAAAACTGCAAAGTGGCTGCATTTCCTTACCAGTTTCCTGAATACTAGTATTCTGTGCTGTATTATAGGAGCTGCAGTGCTCTTTGTGCATATTCAACTGAGGCATGTAAGGTTGAGTTATACTTACAGAATATATCTGGGCTTTAATTAATTTTTCTTCAGTGTGTGATAAATTATTCATAGTGGTAAATTAATGTCAGAGTTAATTGTCATAGAAGGTTATTGTAGGAGGAAACTGCACTCAACAGCCATGACAGGATTAGAGGAAGAACCTCCCAAAGTGTTAGTGTCCTAGTCATGCTAATAGCCTCAGTGTCATTGTTCCTTTGTTCATCTGTTCAGCACTGCAGTTGCAAAATATCAGTGCTGATGAGCAGACCAATGAAAACCTGCCCAGGTATCAGCATACTATGTCCATTTACATTTTTACAAAGCCTTTGGAAGTTGAATTTAGATGGATAGGATGTTTTAGGTTGGAAAGGGCCTTAAAGCCCATGGAGTTCCAACTGCCCTGCCATGGACAGGGACACCTTCCTCTAGACCAAGGAGCTCCAAGCTGTGTCCAGCCTGGACTTGGACATTTGCAGGAATGGGGAATCTACAGAGCAACCTTTTACAGTGCCTCCCCACCCACAAAAGGAAGAATTTCTTCTAATCTGATTCATTCCATAGATGTGAGCATCCCACCAGTACTGGTGGCTGTTACTTGGCCTTTAAACAAAGTTGTGTTTATTTTGCCTAGCACGATGTTCCTTTATGCTGTCAGACAGTTCTCATCACACACAGCTGGCACTCAGTGGCTGTTCCAAGGGCTCCATTTTCAAAGAACCCATTTTGAGGTGTGCAAAGAGACATGGAAACAGACGCCTGCCAGTAGGCATGAGCTTGGTGTGGGTTTCTTGGGATTCTTCATGCTCTGTGGCTTTTAGCTCTCCTTTTAATTGAGGTCTCTCATCAAAACGAGCTTTGTGACCTCTCATCAATGAGAGCACACATTCTGTTTGTGATTCATGGTCAGTACAGCAAGTTATGTTCTCAGGGACAGGAATTACACTGACCAGCTAGTGTAGCTTTTTCTAGAGTTGATAAATGATGGAGAAGCCTCACTCCTGCAGGCTGCACCTATTTATTGTTTTGTGAGACAGCTTCAGACCACAAATTCACATGCACTCCTTGGCTGGGACAAGTCAATCCTGTTGCCACTTTCTGTCTTGAAGCATTCAGACTCTAAGGATTGGAAGTAGCCTCAGCTACAACGGAGTCTCTTCAGTGAATTCAGGAGCTGTTAGCTTTGGAGATCAGAGGAGCAAAGTGGGTAGGAAAATAAATTATGCAGAAACATATCTTAGGGACAGAGCATATGTGATAATAGCTGTGTTAATAACAACTGACTTTTAAAATCCCATTATTTTCCTCTGTCTTTGCTGAAGACTGAGGTTGATTTTTTTGTTTGTGATATGATTTGTGAACACTTACACTTTCTGACATAAGTAAAATCTTACCTTTAAAACTCTCAAGAATTACAGTAATAAATTCTTCTGTGAGAGCCTCTCAATAATGATATCTCTATTAATTTTTCAATCACCCATGCAAATTTGAATTTAGACAACTTGTTTCAGAGGTACAGTCTTCCCCTCTTTCACTTCACTCTGTAGAATGTCAGTTACTTGATTGTGAGCTGTGTTTACTTCAAACTCTTTGCTTCAATATGTTGTAACTTAGCACTGACATGAAATTGGGGCATTCTAATGCATACATACCAATTTTATTGACTCTTGTTTAGAAAAATAACTGTCCACTTATGTGCTAGCATGATTTATTAAATTTATCTTTACCAGACTCATGTGATCACTTAGGTAATAGATGGTAAATTTACTTGGGTTTCGCAGATCTTACAGGATTCTTGCACTTTAGTTCCTCAAAATCCATCAAATCAGGCTTCTCTAGCTTTTTTTTCTGTATCCATATAATGAAAGTTCAAGCTTAAAATACATTAAATATTGATATATTAAAATTTCTATCAAAATTTTGGTCTCTACAAAAACTTGACTCATAAGAATTTTGAGGAAAGGAAGAGGGAGTTTTGTGCATCTAATAAAAAATATTTAAGCTAGTGATTTTAGGTTTAACAAACCTTGACACATTCTGCTGTGTTGGCACATGAAAACAAAGCAGTGTCAGCTGCATTTTCTAAATTCCTCAAGGGATTTTTGTGAACATTTGAAGAAACACAGGCATAGTGTTCGACAGTTTCCATTTCCAAACAAGGATACCTCTTTTAAACTTCAGGTAGTTCATTGAAAGATAGTTATTGCCAGGTAGACATTGTCTTCAGCCTGTGAAGAAATGCAGTTATCTGGAAGCCACAGGTAAGATTGTGTCCATTGTACATTAATTTTTTTCCTTAAAAGTGTAACACAACCACAAATTCCAAGCTGACATTGATTACACTGTGCTGTAAAGTGAGACTTGTCTGTCCTATGTTTTTTTTTTTCTTTATCTAGATTTCAGCCATTATTTTTTAGTTTAAATTGGTGATGCTTTTGGAGAAGGAACTTCTCTAAAAGATTCTAGGGAAAAAACCCAACCACAAAGCATCTTAGTTTAACAGACATCATGTTCAGAGATATGAGTTCAAAACATGAAATAAAGATGTATTGCAAAGAAGGAAGCTCACTGCTCAAGGTTCAGTTTTGACTATGCTTTCCTTCAAAGTCATCTTGCACGAGTGGATGTCGAGATGTAGAAATAAGAAGTTATTAACATGCATGTTTTAAAATGTGTGACAGGTGCTTTTCCAGCATCAGCACTCTACGCACGGAAGGACTTGCTTCAGAGACCTGTGCATGTTGCTACTAAAACTTTCCAAGGCCTGAGGATATTTGTGAATGATGAGCTCCATGAACTCCTGATAGGGCTGAAGACAGCTGAGAAGTTCCTGAGGCCTGGAGGTCGCCTTGTGGCCCTGTCCTTTCATTCCCTGGAAGATCGAATCATCAAACGTTTCCTTCATGGCATTGACATGACAGAGAAACACAACCTTGGCTCAAAGCAGAAGATCAGGCAGGCTCTGAAAAATGCCTCCAAAGGAGAAGACACACAAGGATCTCGCTGTGGAAAATCCAACTCCAAGTGGATTTCTATACACAAAAAAGCTCTCACACCCCAGGCCAAGGATATTCAAACAAACCCAAGAGGACGGTCAGCCAAGCTAAGAGCTGCTATTAAACTCTAAATGAAAATATATGATTATGTGATTGTATCATTTCCTGAAATTCTGTTTTCCAGAATGCTAACTGGACATTTGTCAAATTGATATTTGTCAAACTGAAAAAATAAAAGGAAGGCTGTGAGAAAACTTTTCTTTCTTACCTTTGTGCTTCTTTGTGCTTTGCTTAGGAAGTAGTATAGAGCATGAAAATGTAAACTAAATGCATATAAGTGGGTGTCACTAATTATACAAAAAAGACATCATTTTTTAAAAGAGCATCAAACACCAAGTTTATAAAATTTGCAGGTTTGATGTATTTATAGTATTCCCTTTAGATTAATTTCAAAATCCTGGCATTAAGAGTCTAAATTCAGTAGCTAATTGAGACATATTTTTATGGGGGTGGATTTCACACACCTGATTCAGATTTGTACTTCAGTCTAGAGTAAGTTTAAACTAACCTAAGAATTGTTTATATATCTGTTTCTGTATCCCAGCTAACTTGTTGCATCAATGCCATTGGAACAAGAGGTAATTCTGAAATAAAGTGACTTCAGCATCCCATGTTCTGTCCAGGAGTTTTTAAATGGACTTTTAGCTTTCTTAAAGTAAGTATTTATGTCTGAGTGATCACCTGGTTGTTTAATGATAAATAATACATGTGTCTTGGGTGTGAAAAAAGGGTCATGAAAAATCCACTTTTGGCACTTGGATGCTACAGTAAAGCAGTCAGATTTGTACTTGATCATCTGAATTTCTTCCTGCAGCCATAACTCCTTTGCACAGATCCTTTACAACTTTTAGGTGCTGATGGAATTATAATTAACCCATCAAAAAAGCAATGTTGTGGGCCTTATGAAGTATTCTCCTTTGCTGGTGATCATTTATTAAGAGGTAAGTATTAAATTATTTGAGGAAAGGCTCACTCTTAACACTAGCTTTCTGTTTGGGTGCTATACTTAGTTGTAGAACATTCAACATAATTTCTTGTTTAGTTACTATTAATTAAATTTAGTTTGGGGTTTATATTTTATCTTAAGAGGCCACTGGTTTTCTAGTTTTATTTGCTACATATGAATGGAAAATAGTACAAGTTTCAACTTCTTTGACCTCTGACTCATCTCTTCAGGAAAAAGTCTTAATTTAAATAATCAAATTGGTACCAGGATTTCATTTGTGATGTCTGAAACTTGGTTGGTAGAATGAAAAAATGCAATTTCTGACTCAGCTAAATGACCACTACACTGGCTCCTGAGCAACTGACTGGATCATTCTGAACTTGACTTTCACCAAGCATCCTCTTTGTGTTGATGTAAATGATGACTTCCTGGTGGTTTTTTGGGTCATACTGACACAAGTTGATATTTAGGTTCACTGTCTAATACACAATATAGTGACATAGCTGGATATTTAATTCCTTGGTAAAGGTAAGTCATATAATGTGTTTCTTAGGTATAGATGATTGTGGTATTCATGTATTCTGGAAAAATCCCTTTGCCCAGGATTTTCTCCTGGGAAGCTGAGAAGCCTCAGAGAAAAAGGAAAACAATAATTATCTCATTTGCTTCTCCTGTGTTTTGCTCACATGTAGAATGTGTTTGGAGATTGTTTACCCACAGGTGATTGTTTCATTGGTTTCATGTGAATTGTTTAGACTCTTCGGCCAATCAGGGCCAAGCTGTGTCAGGGCTCTGGAAAGTGTCATGAGTTTTCATTATTATCTTTTTAGCTTCTGAAGGTATCCTTTCTGTATTCTTTAGCATAATTTAGTTTAGTATTATTTAATATGATATGGTATCATAAAATAATAAATTAGCCTTCTAAGAACATGGAGTCAGATTCGTCATTTCTTCCTGCCACGGGGCACCCTGCAAATACAACAGATGATGACATCTATCACAAACCTGAAATAACAGTTAAATGATGGTGGGCATTTCATTCTTTTCTGAAATTTCAATATATTTCCACTAACTTCATTATACATGCTGCTTAAATAAAACATTCCACTTCAAATAATATTGCTTACTCTTGTCATCTTTGAGACAACACACTGTACCCTAAATAGACAGATTTTTTTTTTGTGCAAACATTAAATATAAATAGCTAAGGCTATTTTTAGCTGAGATTTCATACTGGAATGTATTTCATTTGTAGATTTGAAAAATTGTGCCTCCAGCATGGGCTCAGAAGAGTTGTAGTGCCATGCTGTGCCTTGTTCAGGACACACTTCAGGGAAAGACCATTCAATTATTATAGCAGAATTGATACCTCAGAAATTATATGAAAGCATTAAAATTCCTCATGCTTAAAACTGTTTAAAATCCACACTTCTCACAGCTAAATTCAAAGGCACAGTTTCTTAGGATAACTGAACGACTGCATACAGGGTTGTGTAAATGCTCCCTTATTTAGGAAAAGAGGCTTTTCTTTGCCTTTAGGTTGGAGTTGCACAGCCAGGACAGTACATAATGTGTTGATTTTATTTTTTCCCCTTTAGAGGGTCTGTTTCTCTGAGCAGCCTGGAACAGTGGGAGGTGTGTGGTGTTTGTGAGGGTCCCAGGACGAGGTGAGAGATGAATCTGACTCCAAGTTCTTAGAAGGTTGGTTTATTTATTATTATTATCATATAGATATATGATATTAGATATATGATATTAGAGATGTTATATGATGTTATATTATATGATGTGATATTATATTATATTATGTCATATGATATTATATGATGTGATATATTATATTTTATGTTATGTTATATTACATTATTATATTTATATTCTTTTATTATATTTATTATATTATAATTATATTTATTATATTATATTTGCTATACTAAAACTGTACTGATGAAAAAGATAAAAGGATTCATCAGAAGGCCAGACAAGATTGAATAATAAAAAAACCCGTGACTCCTCAGAGCCTCAACACAGCTGGACTGGGATTGATCATTAATTAAAAACAATTCACATGGAACCAATCAAAGATGCACCTGTTGGTAAACAACCTCCTGACCACCTTCCAAATCAATCAGGTAATTATTGTTTACATTCTTTTCTGAGGCCTCTCAGCTTCTCAGGAGAAAAGTCCTGGGCAAAGAGGATTTTTCCAGAAAACATCAGAGTGACAGAGGTGTCCCTGCCATGGCAGGGGACAGGGAATGGGTGATCCTTAAGGTCCCTTCCAACCCAAACCACTCTGTGATGGTGTGACTTAGTGAGCCACATGAAATTCTGTGCAGGGTATTGGACACTGATCCTGCTGGCAGAACACAAGTCTGCAGAGCACACCTTAAATTTTTCTAATGTTTTGTGTGTGTCATGTTACTAAAATGAACTGGTTTTTTGCCATAGTTGAAAATTATATTTAAGGAGGAGACAGCATCCTTAAATATCATTTTCTTTTTAAATGTCTTGCTGGAAACCAAGGCTTACTGTCAAGGTACAGGTGATCACTTCTAGAAACTTCCATCCCACCTAAGCAATGCACATTTTCATACAGCTAAATGCAAGGTCATCTATCTATCAAGAGAGAAAAAAGGTTGTGGGCTGTGTTTGCAGGGAATGTGACAAGAAAGTGGTCCTGTACACAACAAGAAGGGTAGAAATATCCAATATTCTATAATACAGAATATTCTATATTCTATAAGATGGAAATATGCAATAATTGTGGAGAGCATCATGTGGCAGCTCTGGTGCCATTCAATATGTGCATGCAGAGCACGTTGCTGAAGAGTGTATCTTTTCAGGTTCGTACTTTAAAAGAGTGGGAAAAAAAATTAAAAGGATGAAACCCAGCTATAAAACTATTTGTATACATTGTAAACATGCTTTCTATTGAATTTACTAGATAATGGGATTTAATTATTTAATCCAAGTTATTGTAGGAGTTGATATGCCATCAGAAGTACCTGCCTGGTAAAGAAATTGGCACAGAATAATTATTTGAAAAGTGGGCACATTTATCCTGTGACTATGACATTTAAAATAAAAAATCAGTACATTTAAAACATAATTTAACAGTATAAACACAACTGTCTGCATTTACAGCCAGTGAGGGCCTACTGACAATTATTGCTTCCTGAAGAAAAAGAACGAGTTTCATTGTTTCATAATGCAAGTAATATAAGGAATTAATATCTCTTCAGTTTGGGTTATTTGGGTTTTTTTATTTTTAGCTTTCATAGTTCAGTACTGTATCAGGAGTCTTTTACAGTTATGATTGCCACTTGACTTGAAAAAGTCCCAGTCTGGAAGGTGAGTTTCTGTGAAGATGTGTGGAGGTATTTGAGAGATGGAAGCTGGAGGGAAAGGATTCCTAATGGGGCACAAATGGGGAAAATGCTCACTTCAGTGAGCGCCCTCAGCAAGTGCCTCCTCCAGCAGCAAGTGTTCTATCAGGTGCTTGGCATTCTGCTTCCTAGAGCAGCGTGTCTGTGGTTATTAATGATTCGTTTAATTGCTCTGAGATTGCTTTTTGTGCAGGGGAAGGCATGGTGTTAACTGGAGAGCTGTGCAACAGCAGAGCTCTGCCCTCAGGAAAGGGCAGCAAAGGGAATTTGATGTGCAGGGGGTGGGAGCATGGCAATAAGAAGCCCAAGACACAGATTGTTGGTGATTTGATTAATTTAAAATTTAAAATAACTTAGTTGTTTTAAGTAATCAGTCGTGAGTCACTGGTTTTAGTGCAAAAGTACTGGTGAAAAATGAGACAAATTTGAATAAACAGAGAAATAATGAACTCATAAGTCAGTTTTTTGCTGTCCACCTTACTTAACATCTTTAGCACAGCAAGAAATGAGCTCAGGCCTGGTTTCCTTGTGCTCTTCTCAAGAAAGAGCCCTTCAGTACATGTAATACCATTTACAGCAGGGTTTTCAAGAGGATAGAAGTCAGTCTTTATATGCACACATTTCCTTGTTCATAAAGCACCTGCTTAAAACTTATCTGTGAGTTAAAATAATCTGAAATTAAGTTTACAAATCTTTCAGAAAAGTAATTAAATGCACAGGCCATTTTACACTGGAGTTATACTGCAGTTAAAGCAGGATTTTGGGGACTAATTAAGACTTCATTGCTACAAGTGAATCTTGCAAATAATTTAAATGAATGTAGAACAGCTTTTTCCCTTCCCCTTCACCCAGACCCTGTAGAAGACAGAATGGAAAAGTATGTTGGATTTAAAAGATATAGGCAGTAAAGTTGAAAAGTCTTTAAAAGTTTTCTTTATGAGGTTGATCTCCAATTTTAACAGAAATTCACATATTCAGTATTCTGTTAGTTTTTCTGTTCCTGGCTGGGTTTTGCCTGTTTGGGGACAAAGAGCAGGAGTGGGAGAGCTCAGTGTCTGCAGTGATGCAGAGCATGGCTCCTCATGCACAAAGATGGAATAGTGGCAAGGGATACATTCTTCTAAATATGATCTCTGTGTTTTCCCTCTGTCTCCTCTGCAGTTAGAGTTGTGTTTGCCTTTCTGGATCCTCTTTAAGCTTGTTTCAGGTGAATGAGAGGGAAGGGCTTTTCTTTTTTTTTTTTTGGACCATAAAACCTGTCCTTAGAAGTTTATTC